AATTTATTTTATAACCCACCAGTGGATTAATTGCATGCAATTAGAGAAGTATGGTATTGAGTGTTCCATGTAAACAGAACAATCCCTGCAGGATCACTTTGTTTCATTTTGCTTTTCTTTTTCTCCCAGGGCCTCGGGGTACCTGGGTATATCTTCCCTTTCTGTTTGTATAGATGTTAGAAAGTTTTCCCCTGGGTCCTGGTTGTCTAATGTTTTTCTTTTTCTTTTTTTTTTGCTTTCTTCCCAGAGGTGATCCGGATGCATTCTTTTTAATTTAGTCGTAACTGTTTTCCTGATTTATTTTTATGTTGCCTTTCCTCATGCTGAAGATTTTAGAAAATGTAATTAGAGTGGAATGAGAAGTCTTATTCTTAAAAAACCAATATGCTTCTTTAATACTTATTAATATAATAATTTGGTAGGGAGGAAAATAATCAGGCTCAAAATGTACGACATTAAGATATTCTGAAAACACTTTTAAAACCATTCCTTTCTCTAACCCCCAAAAGAATAAAATGAAATAGGTCTCTTTTTTTCTCCTACATTTCACTAACACTCATCACAGTTTCTTAAACTGTTTAATATCATCTTTAGTGTCCTTAGTGAGAAGTAGAATCTTCTCTATAATGTAATTTAAAAATATTTGCCAACATTCATATGTGTGATTATTTCATATGATATCTTTGAGGCTAAATTTTAATTCTTAAAAGATTGAAACACTTCTTATTGTGTGGTTATAAGCAGGTGTTTAGTATTTTCTTTTTCTTCACATCCATCTCCACTTTTAGCTGTTTTCATACCATGTGACAAAGCAAAACTTCTAAGAGAGATGATTTTGTGTAAGATAGTAGATGTGTTGGAAATAAAACCAGTTGCAAACTTTCCTCGGTGTTCCCATCTTTTAAAAGATTATTTTTCAGATGGTATTAAAATTTGGATGTCATCTAAATTTAATACCATCTGAAAAATAATTTTTTAAAAGATGGGAAGACATATTTGGAGAGTAAAGTAGTAACATAAAATATATGATGTAGCTCTCCAAATACGTAATATCGCTCTCTATACAACCTCTTGTCTGCGGTGTGGTTGTAGTTTTAACCACATCATCTTATGGGAGCTGTGTTGCTTTTTGTTTAATCATGAGTATCTATATCCTGGGGCTGTGATCTTGCATATTCAGTCTTACCTGTCACATTAGTCAGGAAGGTTATGAAGTTTTTTTTTTTTTTTTTTNTTTTTTTTTTTTTTTCCTTTTTGAGACAGGGTCTCACTCTTGCCCAGCCTGAAATACAGTGGTGTGGGCTCCAGTGATCCTCCCACCTCAGCCTCTCGAGTAGCTGCCACTATGGACACATGCCACACACCTTGCTAATTTTTTAATTTTTTTGTATAGACAGCATATTGCCATGTTACTCAGGTTGGTCTCCTACTCCTGGGCTCAAGCAGTCCTCCTGTCTTGGCCTCCCAATGTGCTGGGATTACAAGTGTGAGCCACCACTCCCAGCCCAAAGTTTGTTTTTGATTAAATTGTTACAAAGTTATTACTCTGATCTATTTCTTCCTCACCTGATAGGGATATAAGCAGACACTTAGCAAGTTCGTATTATATTTACGTGAGAATTTTTAACTTCTACTTTGTTAAAATATTTTAATTAAATACCTGAAATTTCATAGTTTATTCCACATTACTAAAGTTGCTCCCCTCAAAAAAAACTGGAAAAAAAAAAAAAAAAGGGAAAGCTATGCTAAGTATCTGGGCCCCTACCCCTTAAAAAAATGATGTCTTTTCTACATAAGGTGCCGAAGTGCTGACTGCACAGTTTGTACAGAAAGCCAAATTGGATAGAAAAAACCAAGAAGCTCATATTTCTAAAGATGTTCCAGTGCCAACAAAGGCTAAAAGGGCAAGGAAACAAGAGAAATCTCCAGTCAAAACTGTTCGAAGGGCTAAGCCACCTGTGAAGAAATCTCCACAAAAACAGAGAGTAAATATAGTAAAAAGCAATCAGAACCCCAGAATCAGAAAGCAGCCACAACCTGGTAAGAAATACTCTTCCTATAAATTTAAACACCCTGATACAGATCTAACAGAGAGTGCAAGATAATATATTGAAATAGGGTAAGAGCAGTTGAAATGTACCAAGAATTTTTTCTATGTTTTTTAGTTCAGACATGAAAGAAAATAAACCGGTTTCCTAATGTAAATAAATTAGGAAAGTACAGAGGCTCAAACCTTCAAAAAACAGAGCCTATTTTTTACTTTGCAAAAAGCCTGAACATGAATTGTCTACAAGCATTAAAGTAAAAATGGCCTTATTTATGACTAAATGCAGAAGTAAGTAGTACCTGGCATTATTTTTCTGGACCATTTCAATTTTAAAAATAGAAGATTATAAGTTTATCTGAAGGAAATTATAAACAGATTGTCCAGAACTATCAGTAATCCAGAATCCTGCGTTTGGCTTTATTTCCTTTTTTTGAGACAAAGCCTCACTTTGTCACCCAGGCTGGAGTGCAGTGGGACCATCTCGGCTCACTGCAGCCTCAACCTCCTGGGCTCAAGGGATCCTCCCACCTCAGACCCCTCAAGTAGCTGGGACTACAGGCATGTACCACCATGCGCAGCTAATTTTTTTGCTTTTTTTTTTTTTTTTTGAGACAGAGTTTCGCTCTTGTTGCTTAGGCTGGAGTGCAATGGCACGATCTTGGCTCATTGCAACGTCAGCCTTCCAGGTTCAGGTGATTCTCCAGCCTCAGCCTCTTGGATAGCTAGGATTACAGGCATGAGCCACCATGCCCGGCTAATTTTTTGTATTTTTAGTAAAGATGGGGCTTCTCCATGTTGGTCAGACTGGTCTTAAACTCCCAACCTCAGGTGATCCGCCTGCCTCGGCCTCCCAAAGTGTTGGGATTACAAGTGTGAGCCACTGCGCCCAGCCTTTTTTTGTATTTTTTATAGAGATGGGGTTTTGGCATGTTGCCCAGGCTGGTCTTTAACTCTTGAGCTCAAGTGATCCGCCTGCCTCCGCCTCCGAAAGTGTTAGGATTACAGGCATGAGCTGCCATGCCTGACCAAGAAGCCTATATTTGGTTTTAAAAGGCATTAATTTAAAAAGTAGTTTTACTTATTTAACTTTGCTTAAGTGACAAATCAACATGAACTGCTCTAGTTTTGTATTTTCAACTGCTAGACAAACCTATGAGTTTTCTGTCTGGTTCTTCTGATTCTACTTTCTCCCTCATTTATTACTAGATTTTTTAATATCTCACAGAGAGTAGGAATTCAGAGAAATAAATTGAATTGTTGGTTTTTTTTTTTTTTTTTTAAAGCATACCCTGAGATTAAGTTTTTTCAGGTTGTTTTTTGACTGAAGATTTTTTAAAAGCTCCTCATGTCATTCAAAAACCCATATGCTGCAATTTTGGCTTCCAAACCAAATTTGAGCTCTTCTGCTTGTCTCTCTTGGGAGTTTATGCTGTGGCTGCACCCCACCTCTCTGCATTGAGCACTCTGCTGTTGCCACCATGCTCCTTCCCCTGTGGGCCATCTGTGCCTCCCCCATGCACATCCTCTGCCTGACGGGCTCGAAGCTAGTTTTATCCCCACAGGGAGGCATTTTCTCACATCTGACTCTTGCTAATCTCTCATTTCTTTGGGATATTTGAGAACATTATGGAATTTAATTCATACTATTTTCAAATCATTTGTTATGTCTTGGTCCAATCTTTCACATTTGTAAACATTATGAGAAACATCTTGTGTTCCTAGCAGTGTCATTTGAATTTGTTGCACTGAATTGGCTTCAGATGTTTATTGACAAATTGTTTAATGGAAAGAGGTATACAATTGGATACTGGCAGAAAAGCGAGCCCGGAAAATTTAAAGTTTTTAAAATAGGTGTTCAAAATATTTTCAAAAAATTTTGAAAAATATTTCAAAAAATTTCAAAATATTTGAACACATAGTTTAAAAACTTATTTGTATTGTAAATATCTGTATGTATTGTGTTATCACATTCCAAGTTAACATTTTTAAATGACTACTTTTAAATAATCTCTTAATTTTTTTCTTAAACACCTATGTTAATCATTTTACTTCTTACACTTTAAACATCAAAGTTTAAGAAGGCAGATGAAACAGCCATGTTGTCCTCAGTTTGAAACTTACTGATTTAAATTAGAATCACATGATAATTTTGAAGTCAGACAATCCTTTCATTAATGAAACATGGTGTTCTGTCCTTTTTATTCACTGAACTTTCTTTTTTAATGTTGTTCCTTTGGCGTTGTCTTATGTATGTCTTAAATAGATAGATATTATTGTTTGTTTTGTTTTATTGAAGACTTGTAACAAGTTAATAATTGGGTGATTTATGTGAGACTATAATATGTTTATTAAACTACCATTTTTTCTGGATTTCAGTACAGTGTCTTTTATATTAGGCCTTACTTGTAAGTAGTAGTTTGTGTAAGCGATAAGTACATAAAGGCCATAATATTAACAAAGATAGAATGAAATTAGTGTCAATAAATCAATCAGATCATAAAATTAATTTTATGTTTCCAGTATACCTGTGGGGCTAACAAGACAACTGCCCGCTTTGGGTCCTTTTCATCCACCTGTCCCCTTTGGATTTGCTGTTTTAAATAAATACTGGGCAGTGGTTGATTAGTTTTACCCTTTCCCCATGTGCATGCATACCCTCATCTCGTTCTAATTGATGACGAAAAAAGTCTAGAGCTTTTTTCTTCTCTTTAAATGTATTACTCCTTGGCCTTGGCTGGGAGGAGGTTAATTCATTTTGGACCTGCTACTATTATAAAGAGGAACACAGTTGGCTTTTCTGTTCATCTCTCTACCTGCAGCAGGTAATCATTGCCTAGTAGAGTTGTGAAGTTAGTCCTTCATAATAACAGCGTTTAGGAAGGACTAATTAATGTCTTGAAAATACCTAGGGAAACCACCAGCAAATATAATTGTTCTGATTAAGGGCATATGGATAGATTTGATTCTTTGCATAAAGGAAAACTGTCGGTAGATTTACTCTTTCTTGGATAATGTAAAAACATTTCATTACCAAATGTTTTTGGTAATGAAAGCAAAATTTTAAAAGGTATGGAATTGATGATTCTGAGTACGCTTATGACTTCTAATTTTTTATTTCTATTACATCATGTAATTAAAGATTTATATAGTTAAAATTATTTGAACTTAGATGGTTTCTCTAACAGATCACTTGTTCAGGGAAATGATTGCTGAGAATGTATGTTAGCAAACTTTAATACACACTTGAAACTTGTACATTCCTAGCCTCACTAGATTGTAAGCTCCTGAAGGGCAGGACTCTCATCCTTTTTCTTTTTGTTTTTTTCTGTTTGTACGTTTTTTGAACTGAGCTGTGTGTCTTGTGTGTAGTTCATTACATATGTTTTTGAAGAGTAATCTCTTTCTAAATTAATACACATATTCTTTAAGACTTGTCCCTCTGGTTTAGTATGTTATAAGAGATCTGAGGGTTGGAGGAGACCTTAATCTGATAGTAAATTTTTAATAAGCAATATGTGTAACATAAGTTTTTCTGGACACATTGAGTTAGCCATTAATAATGGCAGAGAATTCTATGACAAGCAAACATAATATCTCTCTTTTTTTAATTCCTTTATACTGAAGTCAAAGGAGAAACTGTTTCAAAGCTTCAGTCAGAAATTTCAAGAGATGGTCAAGAAGATGGGATCAGCATAAATAATGTTCAACCAGAAAATACCACAGTGGCTCACAATGATCTTGCTGAGAACTCCATTGTCAACTATGACTCCCAGGCCCTAAATATGTTAGCTGATCTAGCATTAAGCTCTGCTACCTCTTCCACACAAGTATCTGAGCCTAGAAATCTTCACTGTTCCTCTGAATTGCCACAGAATGATATTTTGCTCTCTAAAGAAAATTCTTTGCGAGGTACATCTGACCATGAATATCATAGAGGAGTTAAAAGTCAAAAAGGTGGATTACTACCTAACCCATCCTCTGATAGGAAGAGTAATTCTGGGTCAGACTTAACTGTTAACCAAAATGAAGAAAGCTTGGTTGCTTGTAGTCAGACCCCTGCTAAAGCCCAGTCAGCACTGACTGAGGAAACACTAGAATCTTCAGATGCAAGCCAGAGCTCTTCTGTTTCTGTGGAACATTCATATGCTCTGCTCCTTACAGAAGAGTTAAAGAAACATCTTCAGGAGAAAGAGACACCAAGCCCTCCCTTTCCCAAGAATGGGACAAAAAGCCCTGAAGCAGTAACCCCAGTGGGGAAAGTCATGCCATTTCGGCATCAGCCCGGCCTTTTGCTTCAGCCAAAACCTTCTGATGAGCCGGTGGTGAAGCACAAGGATCGACCGAAGTCTTCCAGTGCGAAAGAATCTTCTTGCTCTCATATAGTGTTTAACTGTGATGACTCCGTTAAGATCACTTTCAAATGTGAAACAGAATATGCATTCAGCTTAGACAGCAAATATACCAACCACCCACTGGAGAAAACTGTAGTAAGAGCATTACATGGGTGAGTGTGAGTGAAACTTGGTGAAAATGGATGAAACTTTCTGTTGAGATGAGTATAGTGAGGGGGGGACACTTGTGCCAAACTCTGGAGAAGGAGAAACAAGTGTTGTGTGTGAAACCAGCAATTTGATGATAACATCAAGCAAACATGTTTCCTGGCAAGTAAGAGTAACAGGCTGGTTTTCCCCTTGTGCTCACATGGAGAACATTTTAAAGATAACCTTAGCCTAATGAATAGCTTTCCAGTTTGCAGTGCTCCTTTGTAAGCCCCTGTGGCTTTTGAATTTCGATTTTTAGATGAGATCTTAATGTAAAATAGTGTGAGATTTAGAAATAATGGTTTACAGACTGGATTCCAGAAGAAACATTTTAAAAATCACTTGTAGCTTAGTAAATTGTTCAGATTGATAGGAATAAGCAGTTTCACATCAGATTGTTCTATAGATCTCCCTTAAGAAGGAATCAAGGCAATAATAGCAGAGTGGTGAACAGCACAGGCTTTGGAGTATAGACTAACCTGGGTTTGAACCCGGGTTCTTTCCCTTTCTTACCTCCTGTGACCCTGGGCAAGTTTCTTGCTTCTGGACAGTGCCTATCAATCTTAATTGTGTGTACTGCTCATCTGGAGATTGCATTGAACTGCAGATTCTGATGCATTCTCCTTGGGGAGAGGGCTGACATTCTGCATTTCTAACAAATTTTCAGGTGATATCAGTGGTAGATGACAGTCTGGTCAACACTTTTTAAGTATGAGTTTAGTAGTAGCTCTATCTTGAGATTACATATATTGGGACAATAGTAATAATAAATGGTAAATATCACTGTTAGCAAGAAGCATTCATTAGCTATGTGAAATGACATTCAACTTCCTATTAATGAACTGTTTCACATCTGACTAAATGGACTCTACAGCTGTCAGGCTCTCTTCCATGCACAAGTTTATATATACTCATAAGGGTCATTTCCTTAGAACTTCCTGCTTAGCTATTGCCCAACTCTGCAGCCCTGCTAACTTATCCTACTCCAGCGATCTGGCATCCTTTTGCCTGCCAGGTGGCCAGAAATGTTTTCCATCTCCCCTTACAGTTTCAGGATATTTTTCAGAAATGTAATCTGAAAATAGTATATTCTGTTGAATTGCCCAGAGAGATATTTTATCTTCAGACTGTCTCATCTATTAGAAGAGAGACACAAAAATGGAAAATAAATGAATCAGCCAGACTTAGCAAAAGCATGTTGATAAGGATTTGGGTATTGGTGAAACCATTATTCACATAAATAGTATTCTGTGTCCAGAGTGAATTTGTATGGTGTAAAAGACACATGCTAAACTAGGAGTCAGGAGATGCATGTTTAGATCATGGTTCTGCCATGCAGGTTTTGTGATTTGAAAGAAGGCGATTACATGTTCTGATTCTCAGTTCCTGTCTCTGTAAAATGAGTGGGTTAGACTGATAATTATTTGTTAAGTCAACTACATTTTTACTCATTCATGCTTTGTATCTGTAAATTTTAAAAATAAAAACATAAAAACTAAGGTTAATATTGGAGGCACTTGCTTACTATAAGGTAACTAAAATAACCACTTACATTGATTTTCATGTGTTCTTTCTGTAAACTTTTAGGCCCTGGAATACTGATTTGCCTGATAATGTGGAAGAAGTGAAGCTTTTACTTCATATGTGGGTAGCTCTGTTTTACAGCAATCAGAACAAAGTCATACGATCTTCCCGAAAGGTGGTAGAACATAGCAACCCAGCAAAATTTGTGTCTATAAATAGCACGTTAGAATCTTGTGAGCTCAGTGAAATTGAGGAGTCCCTTGGTTTGGAAAGATGTTCTGCAGATCCTCTGTTGGAGACTAACGAAATTTCCAGGTGTCATGCTGAAGTGTCCTTCCGTGATCCTAACTGCTTGCTTCCTTTCATTAAAACACCTCCTACCCGAGGCTTGGAACTCTGTGTACAAAATAAACAGAAAAAAACTTTTGCAAGAGAATATCATCCAATTATCCAAGAAAACCAGAATTTCGTCTGTTCTTATAATAATGAGGTATGTAAGGCTGAATACTGTTCAATGTTGGCATTATTTTAAAAAAAAATTTTTTTATATGTAAAATTACATTCAGAACAAGGCATTTTTAAATTTTAGGACAGCGAATTCTCTAGGCATGTAAAGAATTATTACACCAAAAACTTAGTTTGTGTGAAGTGTCCTCAAATTGTTTTCAGGTAGAGCTTACCTGCTATCCTGATTGAAGAAAACCAGAGTAGAAAAATGTCACAGAGTCCTGGGCACAGTGTCTTACTCCTGTCATCCCAGCACTTTGGGAGGCTGAGGTGGGCAGATCACATGGTCAGGAGTTCGAGACCAGCCTGGCCAACGTAGTGAAACCCTGTCTCTACTAAAAATACAAAAAAAATTAGCTGGGTGTGGTGGTGGGCACCTGTAATCAGAGCTACTTGGGAGGCTGAGGCAAAGAGAATTGCTTGAACCTGGGAGGTGGAAGTTGCACTGAGCCGAGATCACACCGCTGCACTCCAGCCTGGGCTACAGTGCAAGTGAGACTCTGTCTCAAAAACACGGAAAAAGAAAAGAAAAAAATGTCACAGAGTCCACATGATCTGGGAACCCACTGTAATTGTGTCACTTATTAGCTTAATAATTTGGGGCAAATTACTTGTTTGCTTAGTTTTTAAAAGAGGTGACTAATACCTGTCATGTCTTATGTAGAATATTAAGGATCTAATATAGCAATAATAAATATTAGACATTTTTATAAACCTTAAAGTAACTCAAATTAATTGTATTAAAATTATTTTTAAAGAAAGATGCCAGAATAGTAAAATGCCAGACCTGTGAGAGAAGATCCATTGCAAATAACTATTTGTAAATATGGAAAATATACTTTGTTTTGTGCCATTGTTCTCAAATGATACTCAGCCAGGCCAGATAATCCAGCTTTTACCTGGAGCAAATTTAAAAGTTGTTTACAAAATTCTAAGTAAATGAGTTAACAAAATTACCGACCTTTTAAAGCTTTTAGCCCATATTTGTTCTAGAATAATTTTACTTGGGTTTGGGCAGCACATATGCCTATCTTAAAAAAGAGTAGACAGTGTTCCTGTACCTGGAGTCACTGGGGACTTTTGAAGGTCCTTGGGTGAGCCTCACAGAACCTGTGAATATCATCAAGTGATTGTCACCATCATCAGAATGAAAGACTTCTGGGGCACCATGTGCCAGATAGTGTTCTAAACCTTTCACTCACATTAACTCAGTTCATTCTCAGAATGAACAAATAAGGTAAAGACTGTTAATCTCCCCATTACATAGATGAGGAAACTAAAGTATAGAGAAGTAAAGAAATTGCCTAAAGTCGCATAGAAAAAATTGTCAAGCCAAGATTCCAGTCTAGAAAACCTAAATGTTAAGTATGTATGTGCTTTTTTTCTGAAGATGGGGTTCAGCAATTCCATCCAATTCTCAAAAGAATTACATAAAATACAGTTAAGAATCACCACCTTAGAATAAGAACATATGATTTAGGGAGATTTAGATTACTACATATATACATGCTAGTTTCTTATAAAATACTTTTTGTTGTGGTAATATATAATTATCCTCAGTAGTAATTTAGCAATGATTTTGGCAAGCCTGACTGTTCAAATCAATGATTCCTAACAATATCCTTAGTATGTACTTGCATAAGTTTTTGTTTGTTTTGTTTTATTAGTTTTTTTGTCATCTTGTTGGATGCTGTGCCTGTGCTAGAAAGGCACACACTTGTGCTATTGCACTCACTCCACCAGTGGGCACACTGGAATGTGAAGAGGATTCTAGCATGATAGGTCCTAGAAACCAAGAGCATGGCGCTGCTAGTCATGTGTTTAGTTGACCAGTCTTTCTGAATTATCAGACTTTATTTTAGAAGCATTATACTTTACCTGTAGTAAAAATACATCTAATTATAAATATATCAAGATTGTTCGTATTTGCATTTCACTAAGACTACAGTCATGGTGAGATTCAGGACTGAGGCTAAATGTTACCAGCCACGTGATTGGGAGGGCCATTAAAGTTCTCAGAAGGACCCTGACTATCAAGACTTTTCTAATTCTTAAAACTCTGGTGTCTCAGCCCCACTCTGCTGACTCTGGTTTATATCTTCTTTACGACAGAGACTTTGTTTTGTGTTGTTTTGAGATGGAGTCTGTATCGCCCAGGCTGGAATGCAGTGGCTTTATCTCAGCTCACTGCAACCTCCGCCTCCCAGGCTCATGTGATTCTCCTGCCTCAGCCTCCCAAGTAGCTTGGACTACAGATGTGCACCACCACACCCAGCTCATTTTTGTATTTTTAATAGAGACAGAGTTTCACCATGTTGGCCAGGTTGGTCTAGAACTCCTGACCTCAGGCAGTCCACCTGCCTCAGCCTCCCAGAATGCTGGGATTACAGGTGTGAATCACTGCCCCCAGCCAGAAATTTTTTGTTTGTTTTGTTTTGTTTTGTTTTTCTGAGACAGAGTCTTGCTCTGTCAGCCAGATGGCAGTGCAGTGGTGCAATCTTGGCTCACTGCAACCTCCGCCTCCTGAGTTCAAGTGATTCTCCCGCCTCAGCCTCCCAAGTAGCTGGGACTACAGGAACACACCACCATGCCCGGCTAAGTTTTGGTTTTTTAGTAGAGGCTATATTTCATGATGTTGGCCAGGCTGATCTCAAATTTCTGGCCTAAAGTGATCTGTCCGCCTTGACCTCCGAAAGTGCTGAGATTACAGGTGTGAGACACCACACCCAACCTAAGACAGAAGTGTTTTTGACAAGAGATTTGGAACACAGTTCCTGACTTCCAGTATGTATGCTTCAAGACATGGCATGCAATTTGTGAACATTATGTTCACAAATGTTCCCAGCATTACAGAGGTATGGTCACTTGTATAATCAGTTCATTTTATCCTGTCCTGGACAAGACCATGGCTCTAAATAAAACAAAAAACACCAACCTGCTGATGAGGTACTCAGAACTGTCCTGAGATGATAGCTCTGCTAATGTTTAACCTAAATCCTGGTTGCCACTGTTTAAGTCAATCCCATTAGTTCAGTTTATGAATGCAAACCACATTGACAAATTTTCAGTTGCCCTGTAGAATAGGAGGTGTTAAAATGAGAAAGGAAGTATCTCCAGTTTTGTGCAAAGAAGATAGCTAAGGGATGAGGGGCCTTTATTTACAAGAATCAGTGTACTCTGAGTACAGCGGGTAGTAATTAATTTAATTTGTTGCCGCATGGGAAAGTTTCAGATGATGGTATACTTATGGTCTAATTGAAAACTGATGTTAAAAACATTATTCTTTGCTTTTTAAAAATTATCTTTTAGGCTGGCCAAGGTGGGTGGATCACTTGAGGTCAGGAGTTCAAGACCAGCCTGGCCAACATGATGAAACCTGTCTCTACTAAAAATACAAAAATTAGCCTGGCATGGTGGCATGCGCCTGTAATCCCAGCTACTCAGGAGGCTGAGACAGAGTCACTGGAACCCGGGAGGCAAAGGTTACAGTGAGCTGATCACTCAACTGCACTCCAGCCTTGGTGATAAAGTGAGAACCTGTCATAAAAA